GAATGAAGTCTGAATCAGCTCCAGATACATACACTATGTGGTGACGTAAGCCAGCCCTCTGGTAAGAAGTGACATGGATGTAATGAGCAGTCATGCCACCATAAAAACAACACGCGAGGCTACCCAGAATGCCTTTCTCCATCTTTGCCACACTCCCTTGGGAACAGGTCCTGAAATGACCCAAGATGAAGCCTATCAGCATTTGTCACTCCCACGCTCACGCGGGGCTGCAGCAATCTCACAGTGAAACATTATTGCTGCCACTTTCTGAGCCTCAGCCAGCTGGCTGATTAGGACAGGCCAGGTCAAGACTGATCACCTGAGCTCCAGACAGGATTACAATTACACTGACACAAAAGTGACCTTTTCCACTGAAGTTAATGCTGGAAAAAGACCACAGTCAGCTTTATGTTGTCTGGTGTGTGGCAACCAAAGCCCTAAATAAATATAATTTCACAGGACAGCTACAGAAACTGTACACACATACAAATGATCGCAATTCTACTCCAGAACGCACACATTTTACATATTGCCTTTATCTTCTTGCAATCCAATCTTAATGACTCCATTAACTGAGAGGCCATTAGCGGCATTCGCTTTATGGCCAGCAAACAGCCCAGCTGGGAGCACATTATGGAAAGGGCATGTGCATGTCCTAATGTCCATTTCTTGTCCCTGTCCTCATGCACACGCACGCACAAATACACACATCCAAACCCACGATCTCCCCCCCGCCTAAGGCCAGCTGGCCTGGAAGCGAGCAGGACTGGACAAACGAGTATGAAAACTGAATCCTTTTTTTTTCTGCTCCATTAGGCAACGTGGAGCAAAAGGTTTAGTGCAAACTGCAGCTCCTCGTGCCGCTGGTCAAGCGATGGAGGAGTGACAGCAGAGAAACCTGTAGTGCTGCTTGGTGTTTGATGAGATCTCATATCCTAAATTAGCCCGGCTCACTTTAGAGTCGAGGCTGCCTGAGACACTTTAGGGTTCAACTGCAATGCAAGAGGCATCGTGGGGCGTAATAGCAGAAGCCAGTCACAGTCCTGAGTTGATGAGAAAATGATAGATTCGGTGTTGATAACATAATAATTATCTACTCCTGCTAAACACTATCAAAAAGGCTTTTTTACGTGAAGTATTTCCTGTTATGCTATACGGTTGAAGAGAGAACAGCTGCTTTTGACGGAGAACTGTTAAATGATTAATGCTGCAAAGAATGTGAAATTGTGTTTTCATGCATAACAACAGTGGCAAAAATCAACATTCTCAAGCACAATCATAACCAGAGAATAACATAGCTAAGAGGGATCAATGACCTGAAAGCACCCAAATCAGGGCGACAGGAGGTTCTAAAGTTCAACATAAAAGGTTGTTTTATGAATTGTGAATTTGTTTCTCAGTTTAGACCAAGTCTAGTGAAAATAAAATTGAAAAAAGGATTGTAAACCGTAGCAATGCTGGAAAACGCATCTTGGAAAAGCACTTAGAAAGGCTACACCAACTGACAGAAACAACTTATGATTTACCTCATCATCTCTGTATTTCTGTCCTGTTTCTGCATGTCTCAACTCCATTAGMAAAGCACGTGTAAAATCCTAACATAAATCCTTCCTGACAAGCTGTTCCGGGTCCACAGAGTAAGCTCATAGTCATTTTTGTGACCCTGAGGCTCAGTTGTGCACAGCCAGGGGGTCGAAGTTTAATGTCACTGAGAGAAACGAGCACCAGACCTCCTGTGGAAGACGTGTGTCGCTGCACAAAAAACCAGGGAGGTGCGGTTTGTGCTGAGCGTCATCGCTCGCTGCATTGTGCGCCCTCAGCTCCAAAATGTGATTTGTTCTTCTTACGACACACCATCACAYGCTAAATGTATCTTTTCAGTTGCAGCTCCAAGCTAATCTTTAGCTCTGCAGGCAAATGGTTGCTCCTGCTGAGAGGAGAGTGGAAATCCTTTGTGGGGGACAGAGCCCAGGCCAGCCTTCATATTAGCTCACTTCTCCAGGAGCCTTGGGTTTCACACAACTGTACTCCACTGACACAGACTGGACAGTAGTTCCCGCCTCCTGCTTGTTTTTTTTTTTTTCATTCCCAATGGACAGAGGACCGTTTGTAAGCCGCTACAAGAACACATATTGACGTGCAACATAGCTTGGGAATTTCACTTTTACTACACTTCAAACTGCAAGGTCAACTTGGCAGGAATCTGTGTCAAAGCTGTCAAGCAGAGAAACATAAAACAAATAGCCCACGCAGAGGATGCAGCGTAACCCATCGAGATAAGGGCCGCATGTCACACTATGAGAGTTGTGGTTTGTGTTTACACATCAGGTAATATACGGCAAGGCTTCGCTGTTCTCTTGCTCTTAGTTGCTGCTGAAACTGATAGTGCAACATCAAAGAGAAGAAAAGAGAATTGTGGTGCATGACCATACAAAACAACATCCATTTATCCGAGGGGAATACGTTTTTTTTTCTTTCTCCCMTTGGCATCCTTTTGTGTACGGCCACTTGTGTAAAAAGTCAAACTAACTCTTTTCACTTCCTCAGCAACAAGCAGAGAAGCCGTGTTGTGAAGCTGGAGCCCGTGTGACAGTGTAATGTAGTCAGTGCTGCCGTGCCTTTGATGCCATCACACACCACTCCTCCTCTCTTCTCTAGGCTTGCTGACAGTGACAAAGGGGATCGGCAGCAGCGTGTTATCAGTGTGCAGCTGCAATAATCGTATTATTTAGTAAGCTTAATTCTGAGAGGCTGACCAACAGTGCGAACAAAGCGGGGCCTCGCTAAGCCCATCAGAGTGCTCCCATGGAGCAGAGGTCTTTTCCTGCCTTCAGGCCTCTCTGGAGCCATGCTCGCCCATTTTCCTCGCTGTTTCTCACCCTCCCTCCTCTGTGTTCTCCTCTCTGATGCTTTCACCTCACACTCTCTGCTTCCTCTCCAATTCTCTCTCTGCTCCTTCCAGAATAGTTTTTATTCTCCCTCCTTTCCCCACTTTTTTTATACCCTTTAAATTTCCTTTCTCTGAAATGCTCAGAGCTGGGAGTTAGTTCGATGGCGTCACTCACAGCTCAATGGTCTGTTTGAAGGTAGTATCTTGATTGAGCATCGAATGATGCAGGGCCTGGTGGCTGAGCGACTGCATAAAGATGTGAATGTGTCCATGGAGATAGATGGGCTTACTAATATGCAGGGCATTTCAGAGTCTGAGTCTGGAGTTTCATCCACTCATTTGGGGATAAAGGGGGTTGGAAATGATATTCAGTCAGAGTGTAATGCTCAGGGCACTGGATGTGAAATGGAGGCAACAAAGAACCAGTCAGGGAGTCAGAGTCGTTCTCAGGAGCTGATGCATTCCATTCAGCTTTGGTCCACATTCAATTTCCATTTCACTCAGGCTGAAACAATTCATTAAGTTACTCTAATAACTCAGTTATAGAAAGAAAGACGCAAAATCTTTGATTCGCATAATCCATGCCATGGTGTTTCAGGTAGTCTCAGTATTTTGCAACAATTATTAATATCACACTCCAACATTGTGCTTCATTATGGTGCTGGCAAAGGACAAAAAAATACACAAAACAATGATCAATCTGGAACTATTTTGAAGAAAATAAAAGCAAAACCACCAGAATACGTTGACACTTTTGTCGAACCAGTAAACCGATGATTAAAACAGAATTTTTGGGGACATGCTCACTCACTCAAGGTCCTGAATCAAAGAGTGTGCACAAACTGAAGTAAGTGGTTATAAAATTATCATATGCGGAGCTGCAACAATGTGCACGGCAGATGAAACAATCCAGTGGCGCCGTGATTGCACCTTTWCGCAACAATTTGCAACATCCACTGGGAGGAAATTAAGTTCCATTTTACCCAATACGACACATACTTACAAAAGGAATCAAGGGGAAACACTTCTACACKTTCAGCACAAAGAACACAGACGATTTCAGCTGTGAAAATGAACTTGCCTGCTTTCAAAGTGATTTAAGGTCAAAGATATATCTCCACAAGAACACAGGCAAAAAAAAAAAGAAAGAAAAAAGTTTGTTTTATCAAAGGGCAAGAYGTTCAGACAGGACAAACACGGAGTTTCAAATCTGCCACTCAGTTCTACGTTCCTGTCAGAGATTTCAGCACCTCGAAACAATGAAAAGAAAAAGCTTGTTACAAAATGTCACAAACATCTCRCCAACTCATCCCCAGATAGATGTGTCAGTTTGAGGTTGGATTTTCAATTGAAAGGAAAATGTTATGGAAAGAATTTCCATTGAATAATAAAGTACAGATTTTTTTTCTTCATTGCATGTTGATGTAAGTGCGCGAAGGAGCTTTTTTTTGAATAAGAAAACTTCTCGGGGGAAAAAAAGCGAAGGAACCACTGGTGCAGCACATACATCCACATGATCAATCACCTGATAGGATGATTAATTTGTAAAACGCTCAGATCTAAAGTTCATTCCCATAAATTCAAACAGAGTGACACAGAACCCAAAAAAGTGCCCTGAAACAAACAAATAAATAAATAAATAAATAAATAAATAAATAAATAAATAAATAAATAAACACACTAATAATTAGGTGAAATTAACCTTAGGTCCAACGTGTTGTAATGAACATACAAACGCCCACTCACACCGAGAAAAACACCTCGTACTCCTCGTTCTGACACTCTGACTCTGTTGTAAGCTTGGCTCTGAGATCAAAATCTCTGTGTTTGGCAGACTTACACACACATGAACACACACATATCCACACACACACACACACANGAGAGAGAGAGAGAGAGAGAGAGAGAGAGAGAGAGAGAGAGAGAGAGCCTGAAGCAGAGGAAGCACAGGGAAGCAAATCCGCTGCGAAGGAACCACAGAAAAACCAACACTGCAGTAAGACAGACCACTTCTGTGCCTCAGAACACATGAGCTTAATAAATGCTAATGACCTGTGGAGTACATGTGAAGACATACATACACAGAGAGATAAGAGAGAGTCTTACTTACAGAATGAATCAGAGAGAATCAGAAGGGCCGTGCCATATTATAGCTGTAGTAGTGAGTCAACACGAGCACTGAGATCTGAGCCCACAGAGTTCTAGCACCTCAGCCAATGGAGGGAGGGGGGTGAGGGGGGGATGCTGACAAGGGAGTTAGAGGAGTTTTCACTGTGTCATTGGAGGTGAGGACATACGAAGGGAATCTGGAGGAATCCAATGTTTATAACTCAGAGAGAGAAGAGGGAAAAAAATAATCCAACTGACGAAAAGACAGATTCAGTTCTGTGGACAAAACCGGATGAGAGATTGATCGTGTGGGCGTTTTTCTTCTTCCTATTCCTTACTTAAGGGGAAAAAAACAAGATGCCATCTTGACCGTTAAAAAAAAAAGATGTGGTGAAAAATTAGTCAATGAAAGAGGGCTCCATTTTTTGTTTGTTTGTTTTTGCTGTTTTCCTCCCTCACTGATTTTTTTAGGGACTGCAGAGGGCTTATAGGAGGAGCAACGCCAGCATCAGAAAATCAATCCCAGAACCACACGATGAGAAAGCATAAAGGAGTAAATGACAAGCAGATGAAGGGGAGGTGTTGTGACACCTGCTCTTTTCCTCTGGTTCTTTGTCTCCCTCTTTTTCTCCAACCTGTATTTCCTTTCCAGTAACAGCCACCCCAACAGTGGAGCTTGTTTTCTTTATTTATTTATTCATTTTTTAACACATTGGTTTGCAGCAAGCAGCCTCGGACAACCTATGCAGACGAAGTTAAATTCTCCAGAAGCTCTTCCTTTTCTCTGTCTCTGCTTGTGTCTCAGCCTTTTCCGAACACACTGCACAGAATGACAATGAATTGTCTACTATGCCAGCGGTGGATGTCTGTCTGGTTTTTGGCCTGRCACGTTGGCTGTGTACCTGTCTTCTCCTCAGTCTAACGTCCTGCCTCAGAGCTTGTCTGTCATTCTTTACAGCTGTCTGTTTGCCCGGCCATAATCTAGTCCGTCTACCTCTCCAGACACTACGATGCAGAGCAGTCAGGTGCAGACGGGACTTAACCCTCACTCTCTGCTCAAGTTCCCCCTCTGGCTGAAATCCCAAACCCCTGCGAGTCCATTGTGATAACTGCACTGTAACACAGACAAATCAAAAAACGACTCAAAAAAAGATTCCCAACAAACCTGGTTAAATCTCTTGGTTTTTTCTTTTCTTCTCTTTTGTTTCTTTTCAAATTTTTCTTAATTTGTCCCTCTGTTTCATGCTCTTATTTTTCTCTTTTTCCTACCCCTGCTCTCCTTACTTGTTATCTATTCTGGACAGTCTGTCCCTCTTCTCTCTCTGTCACTGAGAGAGGATGAAGAAGAATGGTGCTGCTTCATAATGTATTTCTCTGCAATGTGAGAGAAAGATGGTGAAAAAGAAAGAAAAGGGAATTTGGGACAAACAAAGGGGTTCAAAACTGGTCCTTTGAAAAGAGGTACAAAAACACAGAAAAGGAAGCCTCCCAGGAGCAGATTTTCAATTACTCACTGTTGCCCACAAATTTATCTGGAAAAAGAGAGGCCGCTCCATCAAAATGTTGCAATCTCAATAGGATATCCAGTTGATAAATCCAGGTAAGTCCAAAAGCTCCATACCATTGCTCAAGCGTCACAGCAGACTAACTGGTTTTAGCTGAAGCTTAATTGTGTGCTCAACACGTTGACTGGTTTGTTGCTCGTCCACTCCTCTGAGGCCTGTCCTTCTCCGCTCTGCAGACAGCTCCTGGCGGGTCCAACCTCAACTCAGCCGGCTCGGTCCTCGTTGGAACGGCTGGAGCTGACGGCTGCAGACGGTGGAGGCGGTTAGGTGTGGAGAGCTAGCCGCTGGAGGGTACATGTTGGCGTCCGTGCTGCCCGTTTGACGTCCATCGCTGCGAGGCTTCAGATCTGCAAAGAGAGGGGGAGAAAAGGAAGGAGAAAGGACAAAAGCACAGAGTGAGAGTGCATGAAAGGTTAGCTTGGTGACTTTGTGTCACTCTGCCTTATCGCGGATGTCATTCCCCTGCCTGTCACACTCCACCCCTCCTGTCTATTCCGTCCTTGTCACTCTTCCTCCGACTTTACTGCCTGTTTGCTCTTGAGTTAACTCCACGCTTAAGATTTGATCCTTTCACTTTACTAACAAGCTCATCTTCGCACACTCTCTCCCCATGACGACTCCTTCTCTGGTCCCTTTATGCAATTCAATATCTGCACCTCTGCTGATCTAATTCAATCATTTGTCATCTTTTCCTTTAGATCTAAGTTAGCTGTCTGTCAGGCTGTGTAAGAGTCATCAGGTGGGGCCAAGCAGTTTCCTCAGCAAATAAATCAAATGTATAAAGACTCTATAGTCAAAACTGAACCTTTTATTTTGTCTGTGTGAAAACATGAGAAAAATTCATATGCAGTAATTACAGTGTGGAAAACACGTGAACCACAGTGCACTGCTGTCCTCTACTGCAAAAATCATCCATCTTATCAAGATTTACAATCTTACATCCAGTCAAAAAGTATTTTTGATCTTGTTTTGAGACTAATATACTAAACAAGAACAAAATGTGATTGATTATTGATACTTTTAGGCTGGAAATTCTCCTTTTTTTCTAGAAGTCTTACCAAGTGAGATTGACTCATTCCACTGACAGAAATTTGAATCTTCTCAAATTAAGTGAAATAATCTGCCAGTGCAATAATACAATTTCCAGGCTAAGAAGATTAATCTCTGTTCTTGCTTGGTATATCATTCTCAAAACACAACCAAAATTACATTCTATCTGGACATAAGTTTCTAAGACTTGGTTAGATGGACAAAAGGATGCACTGTTTTGTTTAACTGACATCCAAAGTAAATTATTTTACACCAAAACATCTGAAAATTCACAAAAATTATGATTTAAAATAAAAAATATTAATCTTTATAGTAAGCATTAAAGCTAATATTGATGAGCAAAGTAAACATGTAATCAGCATTAACGTACAGATATATTTCAGTAAAAACAAGATAAATTCTCAGTATAAGCACCATTTCAACAAACTGATCTTATTTAAAAGTTGCACTGAAGTTTTGATCAAAGCACAGATACCAAATAGTGTTGAAAACCTCCTCAAACTAGCATTGTTATCTGTTTAATTGTGTTACCTTTCACATCCTAAAACTTAAATCTATATTCTCTCTTTTTTATTAAACTGTTACATTATAGACTCGTTCACATGTTTCTCTTTTCCTGGTTCATACACACCAGGGGTCTGCTACTTTTATAATCAAAAGAGCCACAAACATGCTACACCTGTGATTTTCAAGTGGCCTGTGGGCCACTTTGACTTTGTTGAAGGGAACCTTTCTGGCCAGTGCGGATGACATCATATAAAGATTATAGAGAATTTTAACTTCTTTTTTTTTACACTTTAAAAGAAAAAAAGCATATTTATGATAACAGGAAAATGCCAAATTTTATAACAATTGAAACACTGAATTTTGCAGGGATATATATTTTTTTAATTCTTATTGTTGTCTAATCAATTCACCATATTTCTTCTCAGCAACTTATCTTATAGGTACTTTTTTAATGGTGATGGATTTGAGAGAAAAAAAGGCTGAAAGCTGGATTTTTGATGTGGCTGACAAACTGCTAGCATGATCTAATCAACAGGTTTCACTCCTTATAGTATTGATCACACACTGTACTTACACACAAATTGATAGGAAATCTACTAAAGCTAGCCTATCTATTCTGTTGTGGGTATAAAAAATAAAAGTTTTGATTAAGCTTCAAAGATCTGCCACAGAAAGACCAAAGAGCCACAGGTTGCAGAGCCCTGCAACAGACAGATGCAAACTTTATGAATCTTGACTTCTTGCTGCCTAATCCCAACACATTTTGTTAAATAGACACAGAGAATTACCATAATCTAAAATTAGCAGCACAGTGTCAAACCATTACCAACAGGTTGTCTCGTCTCTGTTACTATGCAACAGTTTTGCAACAGTTTGCACCTGTTGAATATGAAAAAGTGATGCATGAACTCAAACTAAAATACTTGCTGCTCACAGTTGAAGGAAGGATCACATCTTGATCCAGAAAAGAAGAAGGCAAATGCTGATCAATACACTTATAATACCATTTCTTTGTGAAAAATCATTACAGTGGTTAAACGTCTCCTCCTTTTCTTCACAGAACAATGACGCGACGGTTCATTTGCAATGAAGCATTCGAGTCTATTCAGTTTATTAGCTGTAATCAATACGGCTGTGTGAACAGATACGGCYGTCCTCTGACACGGAGAACCAGAGGACCGTTTAGGATGAGAGCAGGATTGGGCCGGCTCTCTTGGTGAGGTCAGAACTCAGCCCTGGCCATTGTGAGCGTGGCCGCCTCCTCTGCTGGCAACAGTCACATGYTACGTTGTCACGCATGTGAAAAGATGTAGGTGGGTGTGAATTGGTGTGCAGAAGGTATGTCAGCAGGAAGTGCAAAGGTCGAGGTGTGTGCAAGACGAGCRGCGGACACCGAGCTTGTGTCACATCTGTCACGGCTGAAGCAATTGGTTACATCCGTCCACTTCATAAAGCTTTGTTTGTCTTCGCCAGTGCACACCTGACAYACACACACATATACACACATACACACGAGGCTTACCCAGAAATACCAGTCCGTTTAAACACACACACACATCCATCCCCACAGATTGCCTGTGTCAGGACACACTAAAACATCTTTGGTTGCTCCTGAATTCAAACAGAATGTAGAGAAGAGCTCGAAGGGGTTGGGAGGCGAGGAGTGTGTGTTTGGGGGGTGGGGGTGGGGGTGACACAGCCAAAGAAGGGAGGATGAGGAAGAGAGAGGGGAAAGGGGGAATGTGGGGGAGCTAGGAAATGAAGTGAGCCATTCCAATTTCATCCAGATCCATCAAACCGGACAGTTGTGTTTGTGTCATGATTGAAGAGCACAGGGTAGGTGCAGATGGGGGGAAGCTGAGAAAAAAGGATGGAAGGAGGGATGTAGGGAACAGGTGGGGCAACGGCAGAGAGGTGGACTGGATGGAGTGAGTGGATGGGTGAGGAAGCCCATCACAGTTGTCGTAAAGTAAAGACGTATATGGAAGAAAATCAAGTCAGCTGGTGAGAAGCACCCATCAAAATGAGAGGTGGGAGATGAAGATGAGGAGGAGGAGGAGGAGGAAGAGAGACGTGGACACTCACCCATTTCAGCGGGCTCTCCACAGGCAAGCACAATCCCTGCTCTGTGATCCCATCCTGGGGAAAGGCGCAGCGAGATCCTGGAGCTCCCTCCACTGAATACCAATGGAGCTGCTATTATCAGCTCACACACACTGACACACACACTGACTCACACACACACACACACGAATACCRGCACTGAGGAGGAGAAGGCACAAACACACAAGAGTCAAGTCTGGGGTATAAAAATTAGAAGAAGAAAGGGGGGAAGCATTATATTGCAGCACAACTGCGTCCGCTTTCCACTCTTTCCTGTAAAAATAAAAAAAAATCTTCCTCTTCCTTCACGAGCGGCAGCGCAGAAGGACAGACACACACTCACACAACAGCCCTGAACAATACTTACTGAGCTGCTATTCAAAAATCCCAGTGAGTCCCACAGTTGACTCTATTCCATCTCCCAGCTCCATGAGAGAGAAATGAGTTGTCTGGTGTTTTCCTTCCCCTCCCCGTGGATTCCACACAGCAGTGTGTGATGCGGAGATGAAAGCTCATTAAGGCAGACTCTCCATCCTTCCCTGTGTCTCCCTCTGAATGCAGCCAGCATCCAGCTTTTTTTTTGTTTATTTATTTATTCCTTCAGCCTCCGTTTGGTAATATTAGGTCCAATCCATCTGCCTGCCTGTGGACTTTGCTGTGATTCAGCGACACGAGATGGCAAACTGCATTCACTTAGTCACCCTCCTCTCTCTCTCTCTCTCTCTCTCTCTCTCTCTCTCTCTCTCTCTCTCCAACCTAATCAGCTCTCACTCACTCTCTCTATACCCTCCCTCATTTTTCCTTCCCAGCACCCACTCTTTCACTCTCACTCTCTCTCTCTCCCCCTCCAAGGTATTTTTCTCAGAGATGAATCTCAATCTTCCTCATCCTCTCTTTCTTTCTGTCAGTTCATTGGGAATGGGGGTGGGGGGCAATGAAGGCAGCCCACATTAGAATCGGATGCACTTTTACGCATGAACACACACCAAACAAGGAAGGGTGTGTGTGTGTGTGTGTGTGTGTGTGTGTGTGTGTGTGTGTGTGTGTGTGTAGGGGGGGAGGGGGTGATGGAGTAAAAAAAATTTAAAAAGAAGGAACGGGGATGTTATAGCCAGGATAAACTATAGCCTGATGAAGTTTGACACAACTACATGCTCAGGGTGACAAACACTATCACACCACMACATGAATCGCCTCGTGCCCTGTGACACATGTCACACACTGACACACAAAAACACACACGGCTCATCGGCTACACACATTGTCACTAATTCACATTCATAAATAAAGGGACCAAGACCAATTCTGTCAGAATGAAACAAGTTTATTCTTGAAACTACATCACTATCAGTCTTTACCTAATTGTTTACTTTTAGGCCTACACACAATTCTGCAACAAAAATTACAACAAATGTCACCTGTGAGGATTTTATTTTTAAGTTCTTTATCTCGAAAGCTTCAAAATAATTTGTGGTTTGCTTAAATTTGGCGTTTTATCACCTGACCTGGCAACAAGCTAGTTTCATAGTGAGCATGCAGGTTTAGAGTGGTCTAGAATGATCTCATCAGGGAGTCCAGTCCAATATTTAAAGGGGGGGGGGGGGGTCCCTAAGCTGTATACTCATGCCAAACATTAGACGAAGGGATTTCCCAGCACTAAACTGGTCAGTTTCAAAGGAAATGAAAAGGAATGAATTAAAAGGATTATTTCTGAAGGTTCAATGCTTTTTTGTTACTGGGATAGCTTTATTGTGTTTTAATAGACTCATACACAAAAACTCGTCTGTGCTCATTCAGACTCATCTTGTCAGCATTGGTCACAAAAAGTYTTTGGGTCATCATCATGACATGTACACCATCAGACCTGTTGAAGTGGTAAAGTATAAAACTCTGTGTACGTAAGTTTAATGTTGCACATTTATGTGATTATTTTACTTTCAATAGGTTTCATCTAAATSTATTTGGTMTGTTGGATGGTTTATAGTTGTCTTTCATTTCTAAAGAGATTTGCCTTCAGGTTGGATCAGCCTGTGCAGAAGAGGAATATTCTCTTTTCATAAATGAGGTAGCATGAGGTATCGTTTCGTTAATCAATATCATATTTACAGCAATCAGTGGTCAGCATGCTGTCAATTTGATCAGGCGGGGAGGATTTGTGACAGAAGAGCTAAGCTTACTGCTGCTCAGAGGGATATATTTTATTACATTCATCGCAATTTAGATGTGAATCCACACCAGCATACTGTTCAGAATGAAGAGACCATTTTTATCATTTAAATTTCGTAACAGATTAGAAAAATGCTGTTATTTTTTTTGTTTTGTTTTGTTTTTTGTTGTTTTTTTTTACAAGCTGTCACTTTTACAGTTAACTGTTAGGTAGGCTTTTATGGCAAAGTGCTGCCTAAGATTTAGCAAACACAAAGTTAAAACAATCTACAATCTGATCCAAACCACTACAGAAGTTTTGAGGTTTGAGTCATTTTAGACAGAGAAATTTTCTGGTTCTGAGCAGATTTTATGCTGACCATCATCTAGGACACGTGTCCAATTTATGGCCCTGTGGGCCACATTTGGCCTCCATCACGCCTGCCAATAAGCCACCCGCCAAAAAAAAAATTAAAATTTTGTATTTTTTGCCCTAATTTAATTTTTTTATTGATTTATTATATTTTGCAAACTTTATATTTAAGATTTAATGCAACATCAACAAATTTAAAAGGTGAAAGATAATAATACTTGTCCGGCCGTGAGCTGTTGGCTTTGASTAACTATGGCCTTCTGAGGAATTTAGTTTAACAGCCTTTTATTATGGGAATCCCCTGTTGGAAAGTGGGAGAGTTCAGAATTCAAGACTTAGCACAACTCAACAGTGAGTAAGGGTGTATTCAGACCAGGAAAGTCCTTTGGTCCACTTGTTTGGTCCGGACAAAAAATGGACTTTATTTTTTTTTTTCATTTGGTGTGGTTTGCATTCACATTGTGCTTTTTTGCAAACAAACTATAACTTGTAAACAAAGCCACGAGGGTGACGATYATTGTTATAAGAAAAATTAGTTTCGTCCTGGACTATAAACCTTTGTTTATTCTGTATAACACACTCATTGTACCACATTTAACATATTGTGTGGAAGTTTGGAGGAATACATACAAAACAAATTTACAGCCATTATACATCTTGCAAAAAAAAATCTATCCATATACTACATAAAGTGGGATACTGGGAACACACAAACCAGTTATTCATTAAATCAAATATACTGAAATTCTGGGACCTGGTAATATTTAAAACTACACAATTCATGTTTAAGGTCCGAAATCAAAAACTTCCACACAATATACAGGAAATGTTTGGTGACAGAGAGGGGCGTTATAATTTAAGAGGTGAAGGATATTTTAAAAAACAACATATTAGAACAACCAGGAAGAGTTTTTGTTTATCAGTGTGTGGAGTAAATGTCTGGAATGGATTGAATGATGAGTTAAAAAAAATTACAAATGTAAACCAATTTAAAAAACTCATTAAAGCAGAGCTCATTTCAAAATATGCTGTATAAGATGTTTAATGTTCAATAGTCTATAATGTCATTGATGATATAAATAGTACTTAAAATAATTCTACATAGTTAAACATGATGTAAAATGGAAACAAGTTGTCTCTGTTTGATGTTCTGAAAGTTAATTGATAAGACATTGACAAGTAGGAAAGGGGCAGGACATTATAAGATGTATCTTCTACCTGCTCCTTTTCGAACAGAAAATATAAAATTTTGCATGTCACACGGGCAAAATAATTTGTATTACATTTTATTTCTTAAGTTTGTTTCATTCTATTTTCTTTTCTTTTCTTTTTGATTGTTTTAATGTCTGTTCGAAATAAATAAATAAATAAATAAATAAATTGTTCCCACTGGACAGAAAGGACGGGGCGGGACTGAGCGCACAGGAAGAAAACCTGCATGCTGCTGTTCTGATGCGCACATTTTTGCTGTTAGTACAACTGCGATAGCATTTAAAATGTCAGAAGCAGCTAATTTAATGGTGGTTTCGCGATGAAATTCTAATTTTGGAGCRACATCAGTAAATGTGTCCCGCAAYCCAAACGAGATGAGGTGCGCTGCGTGTTCTGACTCACTACCTGCTGCCAGCAGAGCTGCTAAGCAGGAGACGAAGAAACAGGTATGTTCTATTTCGTGTAAGCTCCGCCCTCTAAGGCTATCGCAGATGGGTACGGGGGTACCCATCTGCGATAGCCTTAGAGGGCTGCGCTTACACTCATAGAATCTGGGGTTACAATACGTAACCAACGATTTCAGTTTATTTAGCTCAGCAACGGTGGCCTGTGAAGTCCAAAAAGGCGCATGTTTCATGCAGTTTGTTCGGTTCCAGTTTGTATTMACACCAGAAGCAAACTGAAGCGAACCGCACCAGAGTTCGTTTGGAAGCAAACCGAGACCACCTCAAAAAGCAGGTCTCGGTCCGGTTTGATCCGCACCAGAGTTTGCATGAGTGTATTCACACCTGCACAAAAAGTCCGGACCAACGCTGGAAACGAACTCTGGTTCGTTTAAAGCGGAGCAAATTCTCTGGTGTGAATACGACCTAAAACTCTTTTACTTTTACTAGTRTTTTTGTATTATTTATATCATGTTTAGTGAGTCGTACATGCACTTTTCAGTGTTTATAAGAGGACATGTTAAAACTCTGCTTCTATGTAGAAAATAGTGATCTGTTTGTTTGTTAGCAGTGCTTAGCCGTAGCAATGAGATGAGGTAAACATGAAACTTCAAAGTTCATTACATCTGTGACACTCCTTATCTACAAGGCTTATAAAAAATATTCCATTTTCCCATATGTTTTGAATAATAAACTATATTTAATTTTCAGGTTACACATTTGAAGCTAAAATTGTTTCAGAAGAAAATAAGCACAACAAAACACACAATGGAAAGTTGTGTCTTYAAACAACCTCCAATAAATATACAACTAATTGAGGAATAAACATGCATTGTGACATTTGAGCTCTTACTATTACAAATATTGGATTATTTACATTATTTCCTGCACGCACGCTCCCATGTGATTCACATGCATCGCTGAAAATGACTCCTCTCACCAGAGCACCCTGACACTTCATGTAGGACACCCTTGAATGGAGCTGACACCCTTCGCACTATTTATAATGTTCAGTCATATAGAGCACAACTGCACAGCAGCATGAGCCCACTGCGAGCAGACAGCGCTCTCCAGAGAGGCCGCTCACACTGTATGATGTCACTGCTTAACTTTACCCTGCCTCCATCATGGTTCTATACTCCCCGCCTAAAAAGATTGGGACCAAAGAAGAAAAAAAAACTCTGATACTTCTGCTCCTCTCTGTTCAGCAGAGATTGAAATCTTTGCCTCAACCTCTCAGCCTTAGAGCTCTCTAAGCATTACAAGTCCTCTAAAGCTATAAAACTTACCACACTGTGTTGAACCATCGATTTTGTCACTCTGCGCACGATGTGACCCTTTAATCACCAGTGTCCACACTGTGCCTTACAATTGCATTTGTAAATGAAGTTAGAAGCTCCAAACAATCAAAACAGCAACAAAATTAATTATCATTTAATCCTTATTGCTCAAGATAARCCAAAAAAGTGACTCTGTTTTGTATAATTCAACTGCAAAGTGATGCAATGCTTCTTTACTTGGGTCTCATATTAATGGCTAGCCTGAGATGTGAG